TTATATCTACCCAAACACCCCAAGTGCCTACCATAGAGCTTGGCACACAGTAGAATCTCCAGAAGTGCTTCTCAGAATGAAAGGAACGTGTCCCAGAAATCCCAATTCAGGCTATATAGGCAAGAGACGTAAGGGCACATTTCTATCAAAGGACACATGCAAGAATGCTTGTAACCATTGTATTTGTTGTAGCTAGAAACTGGAAATAAGCCACAAGTCCATCTACAGTCGAATGGAATCATAAATTATGGCATGTTTATTTAATGGAGTGCTGCCCTACAATTATAAAATGAACCACTGATACACGCAAAAACATGAAAGGATCTCACAGATGTTATGTAGCATAGAAAGAGATATCACAAAAGATTACATACTGAATAATTCCATTTATGTAAGGTTAAAAATAAAGCAAAACTCATAGATGCTGATAGAAGTCAGAACAGTGGTCTTTTATGGGAGGGAGGGAGGGAGGGAGGGAGGGGAAAAGGGGAATGTAGTTGGGGTCACGAATATGAGAGGCTTCCAAGGTACCGGAAAGTTCTAAGTTTTAACCTGGGTGGGGAGTACATGGTGTACGCTTTACTGTTTTTCCTTACACAGCACACATATGCTTTTTACACTGTTCTATATGTGTAATATATTTCGCAAATAGAAAAAAATTCAGTGCAAGCCATGAAGATTTACAACTACAAATGTGGCGTGTATTTGATTCTAAGGTTTTTAGAAGCCCGTGCACACAGCAGGTGTGTTTCACTTGTGGAAGAGATGGGTGGGATTGCCCGAGTCTTTCATTTTTCCTGATGTGGGCATGCTCCTCTTGTACACCAAGCACATCTGCGGAGTGAGAGCTCAATGCATCTTCCACCCACCAGCCCCAGCATTAGGATTAAATGAGAAGGAGAAAACTAGAATGTCATGAAGAAAACATAGCGTATCAGAAAACAGTAGTCCAAGTTGAAGGTGCTTCTGGCTGATGCCCGGGCAGCCACAGCTCTCAGCTTTGGATCTCAGAAGTGGAGGCTCCCAGGTCCCAGTGGTAAACCAGTCATGCTCTCACAAATGCACAGATGCAGGATGCTCACTCACGCACACACAGGAAAAGACTCACGCGTGCACGACAGGACACCACCTCTGCAGCCAACTGGTCTTTTTCAAGCCCACAGCTGCTATGCCTGTGACACTCTCATGGTGGGGCCATGACCAGATTCATTTGTGACCCTTTCTAATGCCCTAAAAAGACCTGGCCCATGGTAGGAGCTTACAAGCTATTTGGTGGAATACAGTCAAGAGGGGACCTTCTAGGTCACTTGCTTCTATTAGCCCTGAGATCCTGATATTTTAAATTTGGAAATGAGCAAGAGTACTGAACTATAAGGATTTGCCCTGTGCAGTGGGCTTCACATTCTTTCAGGCCTGTCATGGGCTCCGGTGAATGTTCTCGTTGATTGGGGGTTTATTCCAGCAGGGCCAGGATGACCCTTCCTCTCTAATCTTTTCAATAGCTCAGAAGAGTGGACAGGAAGAGAGGGAAGGAGGGAAGAAAGTATTTGTGGGGGAACTTTAGAATAATTGGATCTCAGGCGTATAATCCCAGAAGTATAAATGTTTCTTAACTTTGTCACTTGAATTTCTAAATTGTAAATCGCTTTAGAGACTAGAAGGGTCCCAACAGCAGAGTGGGTTTTAAATTACTTCATATACTCAAGAGATGGTCCTTTGTGGATTTTACCCAAATACAGAACAATGACCAGAAAATGCAACTCTCACCCACTTCTCTGGCTGCTTCGTATATGCAATGGATGGTCCTTTGAGGATTTTACCCAAACATAGAACAATGACCAGAAAATGCAACTCTCACCCATTTGTCTGGCTGCTGCTTTCAGACTAGATTGGATAGTTATGGCCCCTTTGTCAACATATTTTATGGCAAAGGCAAGGGAGCAGGTTTTTAAAGAATATGTGAACTCCTGTTGGCTCAGCCCCATCCCTGGCCTCAGATAAGGTGGCTCAGTGGCTCAGGGATCGTGAGGGAATTCAAGGATCATGAGGGAATGGGAAAAAGACTTCTCGGTGCTGTAACAGAAGGTCCAAGAGAGAGAAATTCTTAAGATCATTTATTCTGTTCTGAAATAACCTTTAAACTATATTATTATATAAATTATGGTCTCTTTATTTAATGGGATGCTGCACTGCAATTAAAAAATGAAATGTCTCCGTCTGACTACTATGTGGCTTTAGGGAATATAGGTGGAAAAGCAAGTGATGGTCACCACTTGGCAGCATGCTTGGTTAAGCCAGGTCAGGTGGGTGATAGAATTCATTTGATCCTCGTTGACAGATGTCAACTTTCACACTACTCTGATGACCCATGGGAGGCCACTGCTGTCTACGGACAGAGCCCAGGGATGAATAATATTTTCAAAAAGGGAAAAGCAGAAAGGCCCGAGCCTTTGTTCCTTCCGTCGGTGTTGCCCCTCCTTCCTCACCCCCCTCTCTGCTCTGAGAGCACGAATGATTTTCTGGTTGGGACCCTGAGCGAGAACAAGAGCAAGAGGAAGCTACAGGTTAATTATGGAAACGTGGAGAGGGAAAACTTCAGGAAACAATTTTAAGAATTAATATGACAATAAGGAGAAAGAAACAATGAAGAGAAAGAATTTTTTTAATTACTGTTATTTAATTTGGACTAGGAATTGTTGAAAGGTAACATAAAAGCAAGGACCCAGTCAAATATGTTCAATGAAAGAAGCCAAGGAGCAATTGAATTGAAGACCTACAGACTAGAGCTTTTCACTAGTTAAGTGATAATAATTTGAATAGTTACCTTTCCTTGATATCAGTTTGTTCAGTACCCGTCACACAGTGGAGAACTACAAGGCTAGACGAACAAGAATACGTTTTTGTGGAGTTGCATTAAGTGCTTCTGGTTCACACAGAGCCTTTCCATGGAAAGAGATTCCATGTAACTGGGTTTCCCTATGCCCCCTTTTTTTTTTTTTTTTTTCCTTTTTATCTTTTTTCGTGTCCGGCAACGGACCGCAACCCTCAGTGTCACGCCCGTACCGGACCGGGACCGGCAACGGGATCACAACCCTCGGTGCTGCGCCCGCACCTCGCTCAGCCAGTGAGTGGGAACCGGTCTGCATGTGGGATCCGAACCCTTGACGGGAGCGCCGCCGCGCTCCCAAGCAGCGCACTGTAGCAGTGTGCCACCGGGCCGGCCCTTCCCTATGCACCCTTTGATGAAGCTGGCTCTTCATCTCATCCTTTGGAACTCTCAGGTGGGGACAGTCAGGGAGCATAGACCCATCAGACCCTCCACCATCACTGGCTGGAGCATTTGTGAGCCACCAGGTTCCTCACGGCGGCCTTCACGTCCTTGTTCCTCAGGCTGTAGATGATGGGGTTCAGCATGGGGGTCACCACCCCGTAGAAGAGGGAGATGAGTTTGTCTGGGAGGTCTTGCTTGTCTGTCCCCTGCGTGTCCTTAGACTTGGGCTTCCCATACATGAAGAGGATGGTCCCGTAGAAGACGACCACGACTGTGAGGTGAGCGGAGCAGGTGGAGAAGGCCTTCTTCCTCCCCTCAGCAGAGGGGATCCTCAGGATGGTGGCGATGATAAAGACATAGGAGACAAAAATGACCAGGACTGGGACTGCCAGGAAGATCACATTGGCCACCGCCATGCTGATCACATTGATGGAGATGTCAGCACAGGCCAACTTCAGGACAGCCAGGATCTCACAGGTGAAGTGGTTGATGACGTTGTCCCCACAGAAGGGCAGCCTCATCGCAAGGGATGTCTGCACTGTGGCAGTGGTGCTTCCAGCTGCCCAGGAGCCAACAGCCATGGGCACGTAGGCAGCCTTGCTCATGACCACGGGGTACCTCAGGGGGTTGCAGATGGCCACGTAGCGATCAAACGCCATCATGCCCAGGAGCACACACTCTGTGGCTCCCATGGCGAAGGAGAGGAACATCTGCACAGCACAGGCTGAGGAGGGGATGGTTTTCCTGGGGGTCAGGAAGCTGTCAAGAATGAGGGGGACTGAGGAGGTCGTGTAGCAGATGTCCAGGAAGGAGAGGTTCCCCAGGAAGAAGTACATGGGCGTGTGCAGGCGGGAGTCAGACATAGTCACCAGGATGAGGACCCCGTTGCCCAGCAGGATCACCAGGTACATCAGTAGGATGAGCACAAAGAATACCTTCTCCAGGTTTGGGTGGGCTGAGAGCCCCAGGAGAATGAACCCCATCACTGGGGAGGTCTCATTGGACCTGTCCATGGCGGTCTCCTCTGTCACTTGCAGGAACTCACAAGGGCAACTTCCTGATTCTCTGATGCTTAAAGTGCCCAGAGAGCCAGTGAGGAAACTCCACCTTGCTGAGCAATTTGGAAACAGTTCTGACAATGTGGGGGTTTCTTTATGTTGTTCTAAATAAAATGCATAAAATTTGATCAAAACCTACTTGGCGGTATCTGGTCTCCTCAGAGACAGGTTTGAAATGTCTCCTGATTGTATGTAACTTCCGTAATCACATTGAAGATAAGAAACACACGTTTACTTCATTATACCATGTGCGGATGATTCATTTTATTCAAATTGGTAAGAAATATTACTCCACTTGAATGCTTTTTCCCCCTTAGCTGCCTAGGACTGGTGGAAAAAACTGACGCTCTTCAACCTGAATTCCTGATCATTCTCTGTGAGCACTTTTAGATGCGATCTTCCTCCTCTTTCCTAGTTCTCTCTCCCAATCTGTGGGACCCCGGGGCTATTCATTTAATCATTCATTCATTCACTCACCTGCCAAACTCTTCTGAAGCACTTATTTGATCATTCTCTGTGAGCACTTTTAGATGCGAACTTCCTCCTCTTTCCTAGTTCTCTCTCCCAATCTGTGGGACCCCGGGCTATTCATTTAATCATTCATTCATTCACTCACCTGCCAAACTCTTCTGAAGCACTTATTAAGAGAACTGGCATTTTCTAATCACTCAATGCATGGGAGTCATTAAGTCCCTTTTCCTCTCTTTTCCTCAGTATCCCCTTTGTTCATTTTGGAATAGATTATTTTAAGAGATAGTTCATCCCAGAAACCAAGTCACCTTGTGAATTTCTCGCTCTTGGACTTTCTGTTGTGCCCCTGAGACGTCCTTTTCTCTTTCCTTCAGGATCCCTTCCATGCCACTTTTCACCAGCTAGGAGGCCAGGCATGGAGCTGGGCTCTCAAGAGTTTATATATTCCTTTAAAAGTGCTCTCTTACCTATTCCTTAAATATGTTGATAAAGAAAATCACTTCTTTGTGGTCTGGTAATAGTTCAGAAACCGAAAAATAGTCATCCTGGTCAGAAAGCAGCAGCAAAGGAGTTAGTTAGTGCCCGAAACGGATGGAAGTTGTTTTCTTGTCCTTGTCCTATGTTTGGGTAAAATCCCCAAAGGACCATCTATTGCATATAAACAACCATTTAAATCTCACTCTGCTATTGGGACTCTTCTAGTCTCTAAAGTGATTTAAAATTTAGAAATTCAAGAGACAAAGTTAAGAAACTTTTTATACTTCTGGGATTATGTCCCTGAGATCCAATTATTCTAAAGTTCCTCCAGAAATACTTTCTTCCCTCCTTCCCTCTCTTCCTGTCCACTCTTCTGAGCTGCTGGAAAGCATTAGAGAGGAAGGGTCAACCTGGCCCTGCTGGAATAAACTTGCAATCAGTGAGAACATTCACCAGAGCCCACAATAGGCCTGAAAGAACATGAAGCTGACCGCACAGGACGAATCCTTATAGCTCAATACCCTTGGTCATTTCCAAATTCAGGATCTCAGGGTTGATAGAAGCAGTGACCTAGAGGGTCCCCTTGTGACTGTATCCTGCCCAATAGGTTCTAAGCTCATGCAATGGAGCAGGTTTTTAAAGGACATTAGAAGGGGCACAAATGAATGGGGTCATGGCTCCACCATGAGAGTGTCCTTTGTGCGCATGCATGAGTATCCTGTATCTGTGCATTTGTGAGAGCACAACTGGTTTACCACTGGGATCTGGGAACCTCCACTTCTGAGATCCCAAACTGAGAGCTTTGGCTGCCCGGGCAGCAACTAGAAGCATCTTCAACTTGGACTACGGTTCTCTGATATCTATAATTTCTTCACCACATTCTAACCACATTCTAGTTTTCCTTATTTAATCATAATGCTGGGGATGGCAGGTGGAAGATATGTTGAGCTCTCATTCTGCAGATGTCCTTGGTGTGCAAGAGAAACCTGCCCCACATCAGGAAAAATGAAAGACTTGGACAATCCCTCCCACCTCTTCCACAAGTGAAACATACCTGCCGTGCGTATTGGCTTCTAAAAACCTTTGAATCAAATACACGCCACATTGGTTGTCGTAAGTCGTCATGGCTTGCACTGAATTTTTTTCTTTCTGTGAAATATATTATACATATAGAGGAGTGCAAACAGCATATGTGTACTGTTTAAGGAAAAATAATAAAATGCACACTGTTTCTGCTACTCAGGTTAAGGACGGAGTCTTCCAGTACCTTAGAATACCTCTTGTTCCCCTCCCCAATTACATTCCCTTCTTCCCTCTCTTCCAGAGGTGACTGCTATTCTGACTTTTGTGGAAATTATTTTATGCTAGGCAGAGTCTTAATGATCCCCACCTCATCCCACAATTTTCATACTCTGCTGACTGGTCAAACACTACCTAGATACAGCTGTGTAGGGATTTTGTCAATGTAATTAAAGTTCTAAGTCAGTTGACCTTAAATTAAAAGATTATCCAGGTGGTTTTGGCCCAGTGAGGTGAGCCCTTTAAAAGTGGAGAGTTTCTCTGGCTAGTAGCAGAAGAAGTCAGATTCAAAGTGGGGGTAGGATTTTCCATGCCGTTTCTAGATTTAAAGATGGAGGGGTCCTAAGCAATGACCAGAGAGCTGCCACAAGGAGCTAGGAATGACCCTTGGCACCAGCCAGCAAGGACACTGGGACCATAGTCCAACAGCCACAAGGAACTAGATTCCACCAACAGCCTGAATGAGCTTGGATGCAGATTTGTTTTCTTAGATCCCTTCCTAGCTCACGTAGACTTTTCACTTACAGAACTGTGAGGTAATAATTGGGTTTGTTTTATGCTGTTAATTTTGGGTCATTTCTTATGCAGCAGTAGAAAACTAGAATGCATTCTCTTGATTTCCTTCATAGTTTTACCACCTACAAATATATCTGTATACAATGTATTGTTTCATTTTGAAAAACTTGATAACAATTGCAAACCTAGATTTTTAAAAAGGGACAAATTTCCACTATTTGGGGGAAGACTCACCTGAGTATGTAAGCTCATGGTTTTAATAGCCCCTCCTGGGTAAGTCAGGCAGGGCTTTAGTGTGTCCAAGTATCAATCTGGCAGAAATGTCATCAGAGGGAGTGGGTTGTTTCCTGCAATAGCTCTCACTATGTCCCACTTCCCACTGTTTGGAACAGGTCAAAGCAGAATACTCTGGGTGGAGTGAGTGCCTTCAGATAACCCAAGTAGCAAGACATGGAGAGAAGAGGGAATTTTGTCCTGTGTGTGTGTGTGTGCGTGTGTGTGTGCATGTGTGTGCGTGTGCACATGTGTGTGTGCATGCATGTGTGTGTGTGTGTGTGTGTGTGTACAAAATAAGGAACTGGCTCATGCATTTATGGAGGCTGACAAGTCCCAAGGTGTGTAGTCAACAGGCTAGAAACACAGGAGAGCTGATGATGTAGTTCCAGTCGGAGGGCTGAAGAAAAAACTAATGTCCCAGAGCAAAGTCATTCAGGCAGGAGGAATTCTCCCTTACTCATCATTTTTGTTCTATTCAGGCCTTCGACCAATTGGATGAGGCTCACCCATATTAGAGAGGGCAATCTGCTTTACTCAATCTACGGATTCAAATGTTAATCTCATCCAGAAACACCCTCACAGATGCACCCAGAACAATCTTTGACAAATATCTGGGCACCCCATGGCTCAGTCAAGTTGACACATAAAATTAACCATCACAGTGGGGTATGAAATTCAAGGAACTTATTGGAAATCATCTTCCTTCTGAATTTGAAGGTTTTGCTGGAACAAAGTCAGAAGCCATTCTAATTACTAATCCTTTATAATAATTGTTTTTTACTCCCTGGAAGGGTATAGTAACCATGCTCTCAACTGTGCCTATTGTCCCTTGGTTTAGACAGCCATGGTTTTACTCTCTCCAGAGAATAAACCTTTTGTTGGTGTGGGCAAGGGATAGTTGACGAATGTCATGGAATAAGGGAGGGAGTGTAAGAACTCTGTTTTTTATACATTTTCACCTAGTCCTCTGAATTTTACCAATACCCCCTTCATGCCTGTCTGAGAGGTCTCTGGTACAGTGAGATTCTCTGTGCTATAAATCCAGTTGTTGCCAGCTTTCCTAGTTCCTGGCTTGGGATTCACCTATTTCAGATCTGCTATGGCAGTTACCATCAGTTCACCTGCTTTCCAGCTTTCAAAATAGTGATATTTCCCTTCTTCTCCCTACCCTTGTGGATTTTGCTGGAAAGAAAAGAAAAGAAAAGAAAGGAAGGAAGCAAGGAAGGGAGGAAGGGAGGAAGGGAGGAAGGGAGGAAGGGAGGAAGGGAGGAAAGAAGGAAGGAAGGAAGGAAGGAAGGAAGGAAGGAAGGAAGGAAGGAAGGAAGGAAGGAAGGAAGGAAGGAAGGAAGGAAGGAAAAGAACTTAAATATAGTGTTTATATGTTTCAGGAGAACAAAAGTAGATGCATGTGTTTAGTTATTTTTTATGCCTCAGTCCTGATTTCATGAAATTTCTAACATCCGATATTATTTTCTTATTTATTTTAATCATTGTTTATTGCCTGTTCCTTCCTACTAGACAGATTTTTTCTGTGTGGCTCACAGATGTTTCCTTAGTACAAAAGCAGCCTTGGCTCACAGTAGGTGCTCAATACATAGTTGCTGAATGAATTAATGAATGGATTTGTGACATGTGCTTGTTTTCTTCTAATTTTGTCCCAATTGAGCTCTTTTTAAAAAGGGTATCTTAGGGAAAGCCCATGGCTCACTTGGGAGAGCATGGTGCTGACAACACCAAGTCAAGGGTTAAGAGCCCTTTACCAGTTATCTTTAAAAAATAAATAAATAAAAAGGGTATCTTATTTTATCTTTATCTCATCTTTTTGAATTTCTATTTGTAAACATTGTAAATGTGCATAACATATTGGTACAGCTGAACATCTATATACTTTATAGATAAACAAACTCAGTTTAAATTGTAA